AGAATGGGAAGAAAAGGCCATGGAATCCAGTTACAATATCTACACCAGTGATTTTTAACCAGTATGCTGTGGCACACTGGTGTGCTGTGAGAGGACCTTAGGTGTGCCCTGAAAATTTTTAAAGATCATTAATTATTTTCAAAAGAAGTTCAAAGCATGGTAAGTACATTCTCTTTTTTACTTTTTTCTTGATCAACCTAATTTAAGTGTGCCATCGAAGTTTAACTATAGGTACAAGCGTGCTGTGAGATAAAAAAGGTTGAAAAACACTGATCTATATTGTCAAACCTACTGAATAAGAGAAATCTTCTAAATATGAGTATAAAAGGATACAGATTTGTGTTTACTAATTTAAAGATAGAAAGAGGTTAAAGATAAACAGGTGGTTTGCTCAGAGACTACACATATATCCCACCTTATGGGTGAATTTTAATTTGGATATAAAGAGTGACAGTTGTTGTAACCAGAGGCCCCGTGATCCAGACAGGTCTTATTATTTCCTTGCTCCAGAATGCCACTGCATAAGATTTCCTCTTACAGAAGGAGAATAAACTTGTCCTCTGGAAATAGCCAAATATATCTTCTTTAATGGAATGTTTCAATTACAAAGAAAAATACTAGATTCTCTAGGTAGTTTTTAAAACCTCCCTAGTCTCTGTGAGTGATTTATAGCCACCGTGCTTTCCTGAAGGAATGCATGCAACTCACATAGGGCCATGCTTGGAGGAGGCAAGACCCGGAGTCTGGACATAAACATGCTGAACAAGCCGAACAAAACAAGGGTGATCTACTATGGTACATAAATTATAAATCTACATCTATTTTCTTAACTTTAATGGGCATCATAGGTTGGTCTCTTCAGATCCTAGAAGGAACTGTGGGCTTTTCTAAAATATATGTTCAGTAGAAGGTTTAATCTTGACTTATCTTCTGACCATAGCTTAGGTTACGATTTGCCACTTTTCACTTGACCTGAAAGGAAGCAGATTTTAAAATTACATCTAATTAGCTTATGATATTAAACAAAGCCAGTTTATAAAACAATGGTCATGGAATAAATCAGTACGTGCCCTCTTGAACCAGCTATTAATAAAACCCTATGTTGTTCGTATACCAATGCAAATACTCTCCCCTCCTTTATTTTTAACATTTAAAGCCATAAGGTCACATTTCCCATACTGTTAATTTATCATTACCAGATCTGCCACTGACTAAAGGAACGTTGAATAAACTACTGAAACTCTCTTGTTTTTGCTATCTTCATTACAAAATGAGGAGTCATTTCAGAGGTTCCATCAAGAGCTAATATTAACATTCTATGATATGAAGGTGCTTAGAGGGGATGTGATATTGAGGACTTGGGGAAAGGCAATTTTTCATCAGAGGTGAGAAGGGAGGGAGAGTTGCTGGGCTAGGCTAATGGTAGTGGTGACATAAGTAGGAATCAAACCTGGTTAACCAATAATTCAGTTCTTAATCATCTCACTCCTGGCCTACTGTTCTCAGTTTCTCTAGTCTCTTCTCCCAATCTATTTTAGAAAGAAAGCCTAATTATTCTCCCCTACTTAATTCCTTTTCTCTCCTACCCTAAAGCCTTTTAATGGCATCTCACTCCCCAGAAAATAATGCTCAAATTCCTAAGTAGTTTTTATAAAAGTATTACACCATAACTTTTAACCTTATTTTCTACTATCGTCTACTGTTTTCTTTTTTTTTTCTTTCTTTCTTTCTTTAGAAACAGAGTCTCACTCTGTCACCCTCGATTAGGTGATTCTCTTGCCTCAGCCTCCCGAGTTGGGACTACAGGTGCCTGCCACAATGCCCAGCTATTTTTTTGTTGCAGTTTAGCCAGGGCCAGGTTCGAACCCGCCACCCTCAGTATATGGGCCCAGTGCCCTACTCACTGAGCAACAGGTGCGGCCCCTTCTACTGTTTCTTAACACAGACTCAACTACAAAGAGCCAGAAGGATATTGACCGCTTCCTTACTTCCATATTTAAAGGTTTCATCATCACATTGGACTTCCATTCTGAAATTTTCTTCATATTCTATCCTGGTTATCCATCCTTTTGCAGCAATTCTTCTTTCCTCATAATGTTTTCTTTTTATACCTAGACTTCTAGGAATGTACACATCATGTAGGCTATCTTTTCAGGTATGTATGTCTTATTCACAAACTAGATGGTAGGCTCCATTAAAACCAGGGACATAACATTAGCACTAGATTGTTTATCACAGCTCAATTTATAATCACCAAGTTGGCACTAGATTGTTTATCACAGCTCAATTTATAATCACCAAGTTGGCACTAGATTGTTTATCACAGCTCAATTTATAATCACCAAGTTGTAGAAACAACCCAAGTGCCTATCAACCCATGAATGGATTAATAAATTGTATATGTATACCATGGAATACTATTGAGCCATAAAAAAGATGGAGACTTTAAATCTTTTACCTGGATGGAGTTGAAACACATTCTTAGTGAAGCATCACAAGAATGGAAAGGCAAGTATCCCATGTACTCAATACTAACATGAAGTCAGCTGACAAACTAATACACAACCACACGAGAGAAAAACTCAATTCAATTCAAGTTGGGGGGAGAAGGGAACAGGGAGAAGGCAAGGGGACTGGTATGCTCCCACCTAATGGGCACAGTGTAAAGGTACATGGCACACCTTCTGGGGAGGGGGGAGACAGGTACAAAAGGGATCTTACCTAACAACACAACATTGTAACCTAATCATTTGTACTCACATATTAATCTAAAATTAAAAAAATAAAAAAAATAAAGATTAAAAAAAAAAAAAGGACAGATTAAAGCCTTTGTCTCCCTTTAGGGTACCTAAGAGAGTGCTATGGGTATGCTGAATAGGTATTAATTATAGATGGTAAGGGATATTCACATTACCTAGGCTAGATTACTTTTTAAAATCTACAACCCCTTTTGATAAACATAAAAATCTTCAATACTAGGCCAGGCATGGTGGCTCACACTTATAATCTAAGGCAGGTGGATCCCGTGAGTTCAGGAGTTTGAGACCAGGCTGAGCAGCAAGACTCTAGTTCTACTTAAAATAGAAAAAAAACTTGCTGGGCACATTGTGGCAGGTGCCTGTAGTCCCAGCTAAGCAGGAGGCTGAGACAAGAGCTAAGATGATGCCGTGCACTCTGCCCAGGGTGACAGAGCAAGACTGTTAAAAAAAAAAAAAAAAACACTTATGCACTAGATATCCACATGCAAAAGAATTAACTTGGACTCCTATCTCACATCATACACAAAAAATAACTCAAAATATATCACAGAACTAAATGTTAGTGCTCAAACTACAAAACTCTTAGAAGAAAACATAGAATTAAATCTTGACTATCTCAGATTAAGCAATCCTTCCTTAGATATGACATAGAAAGCACAGCAACAAAGGAAAATTAGGTAAATTAGACTTCATCAAAATTAAGTTATTTTATATTTCAAAAGACCCAAGAAAATGAAAAGATAATCCACAGAATGAGAGAAAATATCAGAATCATATTTCTGAAAAGGAACTTATATCCAGAATACATAAAGAACTCACACAACTAAAAATAGAAAGACAATCCAATTTAAAAACAGAAAAAGAATTCAAACAGACATTTCTCCAGAGAAAATATGCTAATGGCCAATAAACACATGAAAAGATGATTAAAATTATTAGTAATTAAGAAAATGAAACTCAGAACTACATTAAGATACCACTTCACACCCATTAAGATGACTAAAATTTTTTTAAAAGACAGTGATAAATATTGACAAAGATATGGAGAAATTGGAATCTTCATATACATAGTACTCCTAGTAGGCAGTTCCTCAAAAGATTAAACACAGTTATCATACAACTCAGCAATATACCAAAGCAAAATAGAAATATGGCGCACACAAATCTATACACAACAGTTCATTGCAGCATTACTATTACTGCCAAAAGAGTGGAATCCCAAATGTCCATCACCTGATGAATGGATTAAATTTGTATCCATACAATGGAATATTATTTAGCCATAAAACAGAATGAAGTGGGAGGCCTGTTACAACATGAATAACTATTGTGGCACAGGAGGGAGCCTCAACACAGGGATGGAGAATTCCCCATGCAGAGACTTTCCTGACCGCCAGGGGTCAAGAGATAAAGGGGAAAATAGCATGAGAAATTCACACGCACAGCTTCTGGAATAACTCTGCTGAGACTCTATCTGCCTGTAGAGAGGCAGATAGCTGCCACCCTGATTAGAAATCTTAGGAGGTTTTTATTTAAATTTTTAGAGCATGTGTTTACAGAATGAAGAAGAGTTAATAGTCTCACGATTCAATCATTCCAGTGGTTTTTTGGATTACGGAAAAAAGTCATCAGGGTGGAGGCGCCAAATCACAGAGCAATTATCAAAGGCAGAACTAAGTAGGTAACAAAGTTGCCTTTGGGGATGGGAGGATAATGTGTACTGTTACGGCCTTCAGGCTAGATTGTCTTCTCTAAAGCAGAGATTCTCAACCTGTGGGTCCCAAACCACAGGGACTGTATTAAAGTGTCTCAGCATTAGGAAGGTTGAGAACCACGGCTCTAGAGGGTTTTTTTGTTTTTTGTTTTTGGGGGGGTTTTTTGTAGAGACAGAGTCTCACTTTATCGCCCTCGGTAGAGTGCTGTGGTGTCACATAGCTCATAGCAACCTCCAACTCCTGGGCCTAGGCGATTCTCTTGCCTCAGCCTTCCAAGTAGCTGGGACTACAGGCACCTGTTCTAACTCTGCTAATATCCTGTCTCCACTAAACTGCTGAATTTTACTCAGATGTCCCCAAACTAGTTTTCTGTCTATGCAGGTGAACATTCTCACCCAGCTTGCCACCAAGGGCAGGCATTGTCTGGAATGTCTGCCTGCATTATATTTCTACTCACATATAAACTTTGAAAACATGCTAAGTGAAAAAAGCCAACCACAACACATACTAAATGATTTTATTTATGAAATGTTCAGATAGGCAGGCCAGGCGCCTGTGGCTCATGCCTATAATCCAAGCACTCTGAGAGGCTGAGGTGGGTGGATAGCTTGAGCTCACGAGTTTGAGACCAGCCTCAGCAAAACTGGGACCCACATGTCTACTAAAAATAGGAAAAAAAAAAAACCTGAGGCAAGAGGATCATTTAACCCCAAGACTTGTAGGTTGCTGTGAGCTATGACACCACAGCACCCTACCCAGGGCAACAGCTTGAGGCTCTGTCCCAAAAAAGAAAGAAAAAAAAAAGGAAAGAAAAAAAAAGAAATGTTCAGAATAGGCAAATCCATAGAGACAAAAAGTAGATTCGTAGTTGTCAGGGATTGGAGGAGGGAGGAATGGGAAGTGATCACTAATAGATTACGGAGTTTCTATATTAGGTGGTAAAATGTTCTATAATTAGGTAATGGTGATAATTACATATCTTTGTGTGTTAGATAATTGCCTCAGAAAGCCCCTTCCTGCTCTTAAAGTTACAACTCCTTCCCAAGCACAGGGAATGGCCTGCTTACCTCATCACCCTGTTCCAATTACTGGCTGCCCACCCCTAATGGCTCTTTCCGCTGGAGCAGTAACTCCTTATTGGTTATCCCACCATCCCGTCACCATTCTGAGACTTCCCTATATAAGGGTACATTTCTTCTCTCTCTCCCTCTCCCCATCTCCCCACTCTCTCTCCTTATCTCTCTCCCTCGCTCTCTCCCTCTCTCTCTCTCCTATTCTCTCTCCTCTTTTTCTCTCCTCCTTGGTGCTGCTCTGCAGCCTCCCTTCCCCACCAATAAAGACCTTTCGTACAAGCCTTGGGGGTCTGTGAAATCTCTGCCAGTCGAGTGCCCCTCCCTTTCATTGTGAATACACTGAAAACTACTAATTTTTATATACCCTTTAAAATGGTGGATTTTATGGTGTGAGAATTATTTCTCAATGAAGCTGTTATTTCACAAAGATTCTGATAATATGCACTTTCTCCACTCTCAGGATGCTGTTTCCACAGTAGGTATTTTTTCCCCAAATATACAAATATATTACTGAAGATACACTTTCCAAATTCTGATGCCCTATTTCCCAGGAAGACATGCCTTCCTAGATTGCAATCCTTGGTCAAAATCAAAGACAAAGACACAGTAATTAATTACATAAAATTTAATGACTGATAGTGGTAATAGTAGGATTAGTATTGGGCATTTCCTATAGAAAGAATTCAGTCATTATTAGTAGTGAATACTAATAATGAAATGAGGGAACTATATCATGGATTAGTGCTTGAAATAAAGTTAATGACTATTTAGTAAAGATTGTCAAAATCAGAATATCACAGAAAAAAATAACATTGAACTTAATTTTCACCTTTTCTGAATACAAACTACCTTTTATCCAAAACTTACGTGGCATAGTCATTTTTGTGAGAATGGGGGTCACAATATCTTCCAGTTGTTGTTTCTGCTCAAAAATCTCATTAACGGAAGCTTCCAAATGGGATTCCAACCACTCATTTTTTGCACGACATGAATTGAGAACAGTGTTCTAGGGACAGAAATAGAGAGTTTACTTTCCACTTTATTTGCTTTAAAACAAAACTATCCACACTGTCCAACAGAACTTTCCGTGATGATGCAAATGTTCTAAATCTGCATTGTCCAAAATAGTAGTATTGGGCCCTAGAAATGTAGATAGTGTAACTAAGGACTCGAATTTTAAATGTAATTGAACTTAATTTTTTTATTTCAGATTGAAAGCACATAGAGTGAGAATAAGATGGAGTCTGTCAGGCTAGGGCAGATATGACATAGCTGGTCTGGAAGGTTTAGGTCCTGCCTGATCTTTACCCTGGCTCCCAGTCTTGTTTTGTAAATTTAGCTCCCGCCCTGAAGATGCCTATCTTGAGTAGTTCAGGTGAATTTATCTAGGAGATTAATTTTTGAATTAAACTGTTGTTTGGGGTCATGAGTTATACTGATTATTGTCTACTATGGATTGTGGGTTCTGCCAATTATTATTTAAGATAAGGGTTAACACGGTCTTCACTTTGAACTTCAACGTATAAAACTGTAATTTTGGAAATGGAAGAACTAAACAGTCTTGGAGAGACTACTCTCGCTGTTCTCCAGAAACCCAGCCTTCTGACAAATAAAATTGGGTGGACCCATCCCCATCTCTGCATATTGGCTGACAGTGACAGGCAGCCAGACCCTCTCTATTAATAAGAGAGTACAAATCACTAGGTTATAACGTTTGCATTTGTTTTGGTGAGGTCCCTGTTGTAGTTGTGCCCCTCACTAGGAGGTGTGCCTTATACCTACATTGTGCACATTAAGTGAGAGCATACCAGTTTTATTTAATTTTAAATACCCACATGTGGCTAGTGGCTACTATTTTGGACAGTGCAGCTCTCTAACATTGGTGGAATAAATAAAACTCCTGCCGCCGCCAGGAGTCATGAAGCCTGTGCCAACCTACACATTCTCCATAATTCTTTTTTTTTTTAGGTTGCATAGTTTGCATTTGTAACGTAAAGTCCAAGTTGTGGTCGAGTCCTTCACCCCGGTGTGCTATATACCCCTACATTGTACCCATTAGGTGGTAACTTAGCAAACCTCCTTCCTCCTCCCTTCCCAATTCTTTATTTTCATTGAGTCCTGTGACAAAAAGAAGTGCTTGCAAAGGCTGGAAAGGAATAGGTTTGTGCAGCTCCAAAGATAGTGCTGATAGCTGATTCCCTCTCAAATGGTTCACAGGAGGAAGTTTAAGAAATGCAGGCATTTCTAACAAAGTATTAAAGACCAGACTCTATTAAATATATTTAAAGCAGTGATCAGAGAAAAATTATAGATTTAAATGCTTATAATAGGGCTCGGCGCCTGTGGCTCAAGCGGCTAAAGCGCCAGCCACATACACCGAAGGTGGCAGGTTCGAATCCAGCCCGGGCCGCCAAACAACGACAGTTGCAACCAAAAAATAGCCGGGCGTTGTGGTGGGCGCCTGTGGTCCCAGCTACTCGGGAGGCGGAGGCAGGAGACTCTCTTGAGCCCAGGAGTTGGGAGGTTGCTGTGAGCTGTGATGCCACAGCACTCTACCCAGGGGGACAGCTTGAGGCTCCCCCAAAAAAAAAAAAAGAAAGAAATGCAAGAAAAGCCCCACTTTACTGAAAATTTCTCAGTTTGCATTGTAACACCACCTCATTGCACATGTGCAATAAACTTCTGGTGTCTTATTTAAGATGTTTAGTGTACTATGGTTTATAATAACAAAGAGAAATAAACAAATTTGTAGTTTGCCTGGTCCATACTATTAAATATTAAGTAGCAGCACATTCAGAAGAATGTAGGAGAAAGTAGGCTGGAAAGGTGTTCATGATATGTTATTAAGGGGGGGGGAAGTAAATTAAAAAATAATATGGACAGAACGATCCAATCTTCATAAAACCAAAATCTCTCATGAAATTCCAAATATATGTGTGTATCCATATGCCCCTATAAGTGAAGGCAAAAATGTGGTTCAATTATCACAAAATTTTTGTCAGAACCAAGGGTAATAAGATTAAGGCTGGAAAAGGGAAAACTATTAAGTAGCTATAGACATTTCAAATTTTTCTTAATTATTACTATGGGTACACAATATTTTCTAGTTCAAATAACCCAATTTTTAAAACCTGAAATTAAAAGATTTTTCTAGCAACTAGTTTGACAAAGCACTATTTCTCTGTGCCAGGAAAATTTGGTTTTCAGAATAATTTCAATAGCTGTTCTAATAGAATTCTGCCTCTACTTTGTTTCACAAGGGATTTTGCACAGTGTTTGTACGACACAAGCATGATGTGTAACTTATCAAGTCTCACACCTGCTGATGTCTTACAACTTTAGCAATGCCCAACTCTTTCTCATTTAAATTACAAGCTGCAGGAAATTTAAAGAGCATCCTGCACACAAATGTATTAAGTACTTTAAAAGCAAAACACATTTCTAATACACTGAGCATTTTTTATGTACGTTCAAAGCAATAAACTTGTCCACAAGCAGCCCTTAGATATAGGGCTTGGGGATGTAGCAAGCTGGCTTTACGATTAGCTATCTTTACATCTATATATCTTTCTTTCCATTGTGGAAAATTTGATGCATCAAAAAGATATGCAAAGTATATATGAACATTTGTATATGTTCTAAAATATATAATGTGTATCTAAGCTTTGAAGCCAAATAATGAAATGGGTATCAGTGTGTCCCAGTACTCAACAGATGAACCAGAACCCTACCAGCACTACTAACACAACTTCTGTGTCCCTTCCCTAGCCCATCCCCCTGCCAGGCTCCAAGAGGTAACTTACGATCTGTGCTCATTGCTTTGCTTTCTTAATAGTTTTATCCCCATAGGTAGGCCTCCCTAATCAATATAATTTGATTTTGCTTCTTTTTGAGGTTGATAAAAATTTTTGTAGTCTTTGATTTTTTTTTCACTCAATACTTCATTTCTAAGACTCATCCATGTTGCTAGGTGTGAAATTTAGCACATCTCGATGACAAACTTAAATACTATTTTGTTTAATTTTGAGCAGTGTATCCTGTATCAGTAGTTTCTTTTTTTCTTTTTTTTTTTTTTTTTTGAGACAGAGTCTCACTATGTCACCCTCAGTAGAGTGCCATGGGGTCACAGCTCACAGCAACCTCAAACTCTTGAGCTTACGCGATTCTCTTGCCTCAGCGTCCCAAGCAGCTGGGACCACAGGTGCCCACCACAATGCCTGGCTATTTTTTATTGCAGTTGTCATTGTTGTTTAGCTGGCCTGGGCCAGGCTCAAACCTGCCACCCTCAGTGCATGTGGCTGGCACCGTGACCACTGTGCTATGGGCGCCGAGCCATTATCAGTAGTTTCTAATGAAAGAATGGAAGGGAGGGAGAAAGGAAGAAGGGGAGAAGTAAGGACCATCATCTACCTCTAAAGCATCAGTATAGAAAATAAAATGTAAGATAAAATTCCCAGAAAACTTCAAAACAAGCAATAATTATAAATACATCACCTTGTCTTCCTTAAGGAGCTTCACTACTCCCTTTTCTGGGTCAGTAATGGCTGAAGAGACCTTTGTGATGTATCTTTTCAGAATCAGCCTTGCATCTGAAAGAATGGACAGTAAACCACATAATAGTAAGACAAAGGCCAAAAGAAAAACATGCTCAACTCTTTATGATGTACTATTATATATTCAGAGCTTTATACAGACTGTGTGTAGGAGGTTTGCTGTAGTAGCTTTTATTAAATTTCAGAAAGATAACACGCAACTAACATATCACTTTGGGGCATTCAGTATGTTCCAAAAATTGTGCTGAAACTTTTTCTTTTTTCCTTTCTTTTTTCTTTTTGTGCTGGAACTTTTTGAAGAACAAATTAAATATAAGACGTGACACCTGATCTCAGAGATACCTTCTTTTATCAAAATGTCCACTCTGGAGAAAGGAACAACAAAAAACATTTTCAATAGACAAATTACAACTTGCTTTCCTCTTCTTCATCCTTAAAAATTTAAAAATAGTTTTCACTGTTTTAAAAAAGTTTAAAATAATTCATTCCTTCATTATAGGATACATAGTAATGTGATCACAAAACTTGGAAAACCTGTTTAAATAAAATTATAACACTTTTCTGAGAGAAATAAAAGAGTTAAATAAATGGAAGAGCTTATCTTATTCCTGGATGGGACAACTGAACACTGTAAAATATAGATTAGGCCCAGATTAATTTAAAGGTTAATATGCTGGCCACTATATCTGTTACCACAAATTTCGTGGCTTGGAAAAAAATTATCATAAATTTATCCTCTTCCAGTTCTAGATGCCAGGTGGTTTTCCTGGGCTAGGGTCAAGGTGTTAGCAGGGCTGATCCCTTCTGGAAGCTCCGAGGGGAAATCTTTTCCTTGCCTTTTTCAATTTGTAATGGCTTCAATTTCTAGAATTCCTTGGCATGTGGTCCATCTTCAAACACGTCACTCCAATCTCTGCTTTCATCATCAAATCATCCTCTCCTGTGTCACATCCCCTCTGCATCCTACTTGTGAGGACATTTGTGATTACACTTAGGTTCCACCTGGATAATCCAGAAAAATCTCCCCGACGCAACATCCTTAATTTAAGAATCTGTCTCTTTTGTCACATGAGGTAACATTCACAGGTTCCAAGAAGTAGGACCTAGCCATCTTGGGGGTTTTTTGGTTGGTTGGTTTTGGTTTTGGTGTTTTGTTTTGTTTTGTTTGAGACAGAGTCTTACTTGGTCACCCTTGGTAGAGTGCTATGGCATCATAGCTCACAGCAAACCTCAAACTCTTGGGCTCAAGAGATCCTCTTGCCTCAGTCTCCCAAGTAGCTGGGACTACAGGTGCCTTCCATAATGCCCTGCTATTTTTTTTAGAGACAAAGTCTCCCTCTTGCTTAGGCTGATCTCAAACTTCTGAGCTCAAGCAATCTCCTCCCCTCAACCTCCCAAATGCTAGGATTACAAGCGTGAGCCACTGTGCCCAGCTAGATATCTTTGCTAGCTATTATTCAGCCTACTAAATTCTTCCCTCTTTACCCCTTCCAAAAAATTTCACATCTATCCCACAAATGAAAGATATTCACCCTATCCACAAATCCCCAAATGTATGGATCCATTATAATATTGACTTATGTGCAAATTATAATCCAAAATCTTAACTCAAAATAATAATAATAATCATAGGCTTGGCACCTGTAGCTCAGCAGCTAGGGTGCCAGCCACATACACTAGAGCTGGCAGGTTCTAATCCAGCCCCGGCCTGCCAAAAAACAATGACAACTACAACCAAAATAGCAGGGCATTGTGGCAGGTGCCTGTTGTCCCAGCTACTTGGGAGGCTAAGGCAAAAGAATCACTTATGCCCAAAAGTTTAAGATTGCTGTGAGCTATGACATCAGAGCACTCTACCAAGGGCAACATAGTGAGACCCTGTCTCAATAAATAAATAAATAAATAATAATAAATAAAACAAAATCCAACTCTAAAGTCTCAACTCGCATAATCTAAATCATCTAAACAAGGTATGGATGAGATTCTGGGTATGATCCCTCCTGGGACAAAATTCCTCTCCATCTATAGTCCTGTGAAACTAGAAAACCAAGTTATTATCTTCCAAAATACAATGATGGGACAGGCATAGAATAATAGTTACAGACATTGTCATCCAAATAGGGAGAAGGACAGGAAAGAAGGGAAAGAAGGAGGAAGGAAAGGAGGGAGGGAGGGAGGAGGGAAGGAGTCACTAGTTTTAAGAAATCCAGCAGGGCAAATTCCACTAGGTTACTCACAGCAACCTCAAACTTTTGGGCTCAAGAGATCCTCTTGCCTTAGCCTCCTGAGTACCTAGGACTATAGGAGCCCACCACAATGCCTGTCTATTTTTAGAGATGGGGAGTCTTGCTCTTGCTAAGGCTGGTCTCAAACTCAAACTCATGAGCTCAAGCAATCTACCAGCCTTGGCCTCCCAAAGTGCCTGAATTATAGGCATGAGTAGCTATGCCTGGTGAAAGTCTTCACTTTTAAGAAAATTAAAGAAGTGACTTGCCACTCTGGCAAAAAGTAATAAAAAGTATCTCAAAGAAACCCATGGTGTAGTGGTGCCTGTAGCTCAGTCAGCTGGGCACTGGCCACATACACCAAGGGTGGCAAGTTTGAACCCAGCCCAGGCCAACTAAAACAACGACAACTGCAACAACAAAAAAAATAGCCAGGCATTGTGGTGGGAGCCTGTAGTCCCAAATCCTTGGGAGGCTGAGGCAAGAGAATCGCTTAAGCCCAAGAGTTTGAAGTTGCTGTGAGCTGTGACACCACAGCATTCTACCCAGGGCAACAGCTTGAGACTCTGTCTGCCCCGAAAAAAAAAAAAAAAAAAACCAAGGGAGTAGCAAGGATAAGCATTAAGTTCTTATAAGAACCTAAAAGGAATCTCCAAGATAATGGGAAAAAAGAGGCCTCAAGAGCATGGTTACAAGCAGGTCTAGAAAGCCTGGTGGAACAGGTTAAAACAGCCC